AAATTACAACTCAATCAAACTAACCAACTTACCAACATCATCATATGTAAAAAGCGAATTTCACATCTCCATAAACTTTTTTAAAGTCCCAATTGATCGTCCCCAAATTCAGTAAACATATATAGTCCCCAATTCACCTATGTCACCCATGTACAACTAGAATGTGTACTGAGATATGGCCCGGGGTGTTGAAAATGATGCAAAAACCCTATTATTTGTAAAGTTGTATCCCCCAATTATACCATATGTCCAACGTCTCTCTAATTGTAATATTTCATATTCGCAAGCGTGTGTTTGATCACTTGAGGAAGAAAATGTCATCGAACTCCAACGGCTAGTGTACAGCTAGTGTATCTTGGTCATGTTCGTGTTTGTGTTTGTTGTTCTTCGTTCCTTGGTCTGCCCTTAGTTTGATGATATTTCCTTCATCAAATGAACGGATACAAGCTTGAATAAATGGAAGATTAAGATTAAGATTAAGAGAGACGCAAGTAGATGGTACAATTGGGGGATATGACTTTACAAGTAGTAGCTTCTCATATTCTTCTCAATAATTGACCATGTTGTCATACAAATTTAGTTGTACGTAGGTGAGATAATGAATTGGGGTGGGTGGGGAAGGGGCTAAGATTTTTTTGGGCTAAAATTGGGGGCAAACAATTGGAGCTTTAAGAGAAGTTTATGGGGGTAGTGGAAGTCACGTTTCACATATTACGATTTTGGTGAGTTGGATGCTTTGGATGAGTTATAATTTTTTTGCATTCGTAATTTGCCACGTGAATTTTCATGCAACACGTCAGCAACGAGGGACACTAGATCCAACAGATGCAGTGCGACGTCTCAAAGATGAGTTATCATTGAGAAGCGATTTGAAGTTTGATTAGTAAATCATGATAATAGTTTTACTTGAATGATTTGGTTGAGTTGTAATTTTTTAACCATGATAACCTACCACGTAGGATTTTCGTGTGACACGCCAACAATAAGAATAAAAGAATTAGACAAATAATAGATGGAGTTCACGTCTCAAAAATGAGTGAATATTAAGAAACAATTTGAAACTTGACGAGTAAATCGTGACAATAGAGAAGTTAGATGATAAATAAAACATTTACTCAATTAAATGAAAAAAATATTTAGTAGGTAGAAAATTCAAATAATCATATCAAGTGAGAATTATTTTTTAGACGATTCTAGCACTACTGCAATTCAATTATTTCAATAATGCGTTACTTTTCGTTTTTACCTTATTTTTTTTCATTTTTCAATGTGTATTAATTTTTCAATTAAAAATCCTCTCATGTTCCCTAAATCATTTATATACCTAATTACTAACAATTAATTCATTTAAAAATTAAAACCCTATAATATCGTTTTTCAATGTGTATTAATTTTTCATTAAAAAATCCTTTGACATTCTCTAAACCATTTATATACCCAATAATTAACAATTAATTCCTTTAAAACCCTCCACCCCTCTTTATAGCATTTGCCTTGCTTATTAAATACTCCCTCCGTCCCAATTATATAGGCTTTTTTGGTAATTCCTTTAAAACCCTATAATATCATTTTTCAAAGTGTATTACTTTTCCAATTAAAAATCTTCTTACTTCCCTAAACAATATATACTCAGTAATTACGTTAATTCCTTTAAAACCCTGTAATATTTTTTTTTTTTTTCAGTTTGCATTAATTTTCCAATTAAAAATCTTCTCACATATCTCCTAAACAATATATACCCAATAATTAACAATTAATTCCTTTAAAACCCTCCACCCATCTTCATAACCTTTGTCTTACACTTGCAAATTTGTACATATGTAATTGGTGGGTTTATAGAATAATTTTTTGAAAAGAGATTAATTCTCCCAAGTCTGTGTACACTTTATATATTTTCGGGGACTATTCAATTGATTTAGAAGTAAATAAATTATTAAAATATATGTACACTTATTTATTTTCAAAATTATTCGTTTAATTTATGATACAAAATATTATCCAAGTTCACGTACGCACTCTTTTGTATAGACTAATTTTCAAGATCACGAGTATATAAATTATTATTTTTCCTATATTCATTAATTCGAATTAATTAAATTCCATGTTCATGAATATATTTGATTGTTCTCGTGAGTATTCGATGTAAATGAATTAATCTCTCAACTATTTAAACATTTTTTTATGAATAATTTAGATATTTTAGTAATCAATTTTTTTTAAAATTCATTTGACGGGTTTTTTCTTTTAAAGATTCTTTTTTTTTTTTTGGTGAATAGCTATAAATTCTATTTATTTTAGGCAAGCAATAATTTGGTTGTATGAACCATAAATTTATCAAATTTTGAAGGAGTTCAAGGACTTTAGAAGGATCCTCCTATGCACAGAGTACTAAACAAGAAGCGGAAGAGAGACAGAGATAGATTATTGCGTGATGTTGTGTTTGATATTTTAGACTTGTACGTTGGGAAATTGATTGACATATTAATAAAACTATCACCATCATTTGTCGATTTTTTTTTTATATTGTAAAACTAGGTGCAATCTATGAGATTCAAAATTCTACGATAATTGCATGCTATGCTCGAGCTTTTCACATTATGATATTACTCGATGTATTTTAAATGTCACTCGACCAGCCACTAATATCTATGGTGGAAGAAGCTCGTTTCAAATTATTTACTCAACAATTTGGTTCTTGATATAGGTGTAATAAAATGAAATTATATGATGAAGATCCAGTGGCAAAGAGAAGGACAACTGAAGATGTTGACAGGATTTTTCAAGATATCATGAACAACTTTGAATCATTTGAAAGTAAAGTAATGACATTTGAGGAAGATATTTTCCAAGTCCATTCAGTTATCTCGCAAGCAACAAGACAATCAATGTTTTTCAAGATATCATGAACAATTTTGAATCATTTGAAAGTAAAGTAATGACATTTGAGGAAGATATTTTCCAAGCAACAAGACAATTAATGTTTTTCAAGATATCATGAACAATTTTGAATGATTTGAAAGTAAAGTAATGACATTTGAGGAAGATATTTTCCAAGTCCATTCAGTTATCTCGCAAGCAACAAGACAATCAATATTTTTCAAGATATCATGAACAATTTTGAATCATTTGAAAGTAAAGTAATGACATTTGAGGAAGATATTTTCCAAGTCCTTTCAATTATCCCAGCAAGCAACAAGACAATCAATAAGACCGAGGGAAATGTGAGAATCATTTTTTGAAAGATTCTAACTCTACTGCAATTCAACTATTTTAACAATACCTTACTTTTCATTTTTACTTTACTTTTCGTTTTTCAATTTATATTAATTTTTCAATTAAAAATCCTCTCACATTCCCTAAACCATCCATATAACCCAATAATAAACAATTAATTCCTTTAAAATCATATAATATCTTTTTCAATATTATTAATTTTTGATTAAAAATCCTCTTACATTCCTAAACCATTTATATATCCAATAATTAACAATTAATTCCTTTAAAACACTCCACCCCTCTTCATAGCCTTTGCCTTGCACTAGCAAATATGTACGTATGTAAATATTGGTGGGTTTGATGAATAGATTTTACAAAAGAGATTAATTCTCCCAAGTTCGTGTACACTTCTTATATTTTCAGGACAATTCAATTGATCTATGAGTAAATAAATTATTAAAATTCATGTACACTGATTATTTTTAAAATTATTCGTTTATTTTATGATACAAATTATTTTTCAAGTTCAAGTACACACCCTTTTGTGTAGATTAATTTTCAAGATCACGAGTATATAAATTATTATTTTTTCTATATTTATTAATTCAAATTAATTAAATTCCATGTTTATCAATGTATTTGATTGTTCTAGTGAGTATTTGACATAAATGAATTAATCTCTCAACTNATGTTAATGAATGTATTTGATTGTTCTAATGGGTATTTGATGTATTTTAAATGTCACTCGAACGGTCGCTAATATCTACGGTAAAAGAAACTTCTTTCAAATTTCTTACTCGACAACTTTGTTTTTAATATAGGTGTAATAAAATGAATTTATATGATGAAGCTCCAATGACAAAGAGAGTGATAATTGAAGCTCTTGATAGGACATTTTAAGCTATCATGAACAATTTTGAATCATTTGAGAGTGGAGTAATTGTAGTTGGGAAAAATTTTCTCCACATCTTTTTAGTTATCTCGCAAGCAACAAGAAAATCAATAAGGCATAAGGATAAATAAGATATCATGTCGGAATGCATCTTCCACAACATGTATCCTCACATGGACAGTTATAAATCAAATCAGATACCCCTAATCACATAAAAATATTGTATACAAAGATATTCTTATTGAATAAAAAGTTCATTCCACATGAATAATTTGAATTTATTATTTTTTATATTCAAGCATCTTCAAATATTATATTTATATCACTTATAAAACATTTTAGAGTAACGTGCAGTGAACGTTCAACTGTGACGACTAAGAATAAAAATCCATATCATTGTGTTCTAACTTAGGCTTTCTACCTGATTATAGTTACACAACTTCGACGTCCAATCCAACCGATTGTTAGTTAAGTGATCGATCAAAAACCACCTAAATATTCCTCGGTGAATTGGGGCAGAAAATCTCGAACAAAAATCAATCACACCATCAACTCCACTAAGAGTTTCGAATCCAAAAAATATTACGCTGATTATTTTTTCGTACTTAAACAACGTAGATAATTTGGCTGTTGACTGGAACATCTTTTCCCTTCGCAACAAATCCTAGGAACTAGCCCCATTCTTACGAACAGAGGAGAGAGGCAAGCTTTCTGGTTCTGAACACAAATCAATATTTGCTTTACCTCTGAATTCTCGCAATTCCAAATAGATTCGCTCTAACACTCAAATTCTCTCCCTCCATTTTCGCACAATCACCCAGTTACACGAAGGTAGCAGATACCGTATGTTTTAATATCGGATTTCAATAGCTGAAATTCGATCAAAGAGAGCATGTCGAAATCGTTACCCTATTCAATGAAAGATGTACACTACGATAACGCTAAGTTTCGCCAGCGATCCTTCTTCAAGGTCCTTATTGAAATTTTTAGATCTCATAGTTTGCACTTTCCTTTGTGTATTCAGTTTGTCTGATCTCTTATTGATTTGTTGTCGTTTAAATTCTTTGCGTTGAGCATCTGATCTGGTTACTCCGTGTTTATTTGGACCGAGTTGAAAGCGATTCACTATCTAATATATTTTAGCTCGAGAAAGATTTAAAATGATTTACATCTCCATGACACTGTATCTGTGTAATCCAAGACTCGCAGTCATGGTGCAAAATATTGCTTTAATACAAATTAATTTACAAAATATATGATTGCAGTAACAATGTTCATCAAATTTCAACTCAATTGAAGATGTAGACATGTCTCCTTAGATCTAAAGATCACAATAATTTTTTTAGGTGCTTTTAAATGACTTTTGGGGCTCAGAATTTTAAATTTATGCATATACTGAATATAAAAATTGACAGTATAAATTTGTTGCATCCACTTATAGTACCATAAGTACAAGTAGTCTGAGAAGCAAGTATTTGATGAGGTTTCTCAGAGTTATTCTATTTATCACTTCTGATGCTGTATTTTGTTAAATTAGTTTCACCTGATATTTCTTTTTCATTTCTCCAGATCATTACTCAGAATATGTTAACTAGTAATCTCAAACGTGAATGTGTAAAATGTAGCATGGGAAAGTTTCTCATGTTACTAATGATTTGTGGTTTAGCGTTTCTCATGCTGACCCGAATGAGTTCTGTTCATCCTTCTACTGATGGCACAGCTAAAAATGTCAGAGATCAGGAAGGGGAAAATCTCATTGCAAATGGAAGCGGTAGATTAGGAAGACTTTGGAGAAAGCCGCCAAGGCTTCCTCCAATGTTAACACCAGATGAAATCACTCGTAGGAATAGATCAATTCATAACTTCGGCAATTTAAATGTGGGATCCGACTGGAAGGCCAGGCAACAAAGGGTGAAAGAGGCCTTTATCCACGCGTGGTCTGGCTATAAAAAGTATGCAATGGGTTATGATGAACTTATGCCACTGAGTCAGAGAGGAGTTGACGGGTTAGGGGGTCTAGGAGCCACCATTATTGATGCTCTTGACACTGCCATGATAATGGGAGCTGAAGAAGTTGTTAATGAAGCTGGCTCATGGATTGAAAAAAATCTTCCCGAGAGGATTGATGGAAAAGGTCAAGTAAATTTGTTTGAAACTACCATACGCATTGTGGGGGGGCTTTTGAGTGCTTATCATTTAAGTGGTGGTGGAAAAGGTAGTAATGCTTCACAAAATGGAACCAATCCAGTAGTCTATCTGGAAAATGCAAGGAAACTGGCCGATCATCTGCTAATTGCTTTTACATCAAGTCCTTCTGCTATTCCCTTCAGTGATGTGGTTCTACGCGACCGCTCTGCCCATCCTGCTCCTGATGGCCTGAGTAGTACTTCTGAAGTTTCTACTCTACAGCTCGAGTTCAATTATCTCAGTTCTCTAACTGGTGATCCAAAGTATAGTGTGGAATCTATGAAGGTCTTGGAACACTTGAAGACCCTGCCAAAGGTGGAGGGACTGGTGCCTATATACATAAGGTAAGGACAAATATTTCTTTTTCATCCTTCCAACAACTATGCACACAAAATCACCTTTAACGGTTAGGCTTTCCATCATATCTTTTGAAATAGCATGCATTGAAAATTTCTGTTATTATGCCTTCAGCCTCTCTGCTGGTTCGTGCACCTAGTAATGTTAGTAAGCATTTGTTTGGACTGTCGAAACTTTTGAATTGTAAAAAAATGATTCACGAACTAGAGAAACCATATGTGGAGGCAAGCTTCATAAGACTAAGGGGTATAAATTTTGCTACACTAGCAGTGGTTCCTCTGTATTGATCTTGCTGGTGTTTGGTTTGGGTTGAAGGGAAAGGAAGGGCAAGGAGAAACACAGATGCAAATGTAGAAGGCCCTTTTCAAATAAATTTGGGTTGATTACTAGAATTCCTTTTTGACATTTCATTTTTATCTGCCCCCCTTATATCTACCAAACAGTTTCTACTATCATATCAAAGCATGTTTTAATACCCCTCATTTTACATTTTTATCTTCATCATCGCTTCTCTTGAGAATTCATTCACAAGTGCACAAAAAAGGACATAAAAGTTATTCCCTGTAGAAAGACTTTGATCATGTCAGTATGTCAGAGGTTATTTCTGGATTCTACTTGTCATGATTGCAGCCCTGACTCTGGTGGGTTTAGTGGAGAGAACATTAGACTTGGATCTCGTGGTGACAGCTATTACGAGTACCTCATTAAAGTCTGGCTTCAGAATCAAGGAAGTAATTTGACATATTTGCACAATATGTATGAGGAATCAATTAAAGGAGTGAAGCACCTTCTTGTAAGGAAATCTGTGCCCAACGGATTGATTTTTGTCGGAGAATTGCCTTATGGGCCTCAAGGTTCTTTCAGTCCCAAAATGGATCACCTGGTATGTTATAAATTCTTTGTTTCATTTTTTTTCCGTAGCACTTTGGTGTCATGAACTAGACTTGCATCTTTCTGACTACTAGAAAGCAAAGCACAATGTTTCCATAGATTTGTTTAGTTATTGATGCTTTTGAATTAAAAAAAAAGTGCATCTCCTACTTTCACTCCCACTTAATGCCTAAAGAGGAGGACAAGTTTCATGCTTGCAATATCTGGGGTTTTACTTTTGTTTGTTATGTGACTCTCCTATGCAGGTGTGTTTTCTACCTGGGACTCTTGCTCTTGGTGCAACAAAGGGCATTACAAAGGAGAAGGCTATGAAAGAAAACTTGCTCTCATTTGAAGATCTAGAAAATTTGAAGCTTGCAGAAGATCTGGCTAAGACATGTGTTGAGATGTATTCAGTAACTTCTACTGGTCTTGCTCCAGAAATAGTGTATTTCAACATGGAGGTGAGATTTTTGTCATTGCATTGTGCATGCCAATGGATAGTAAAATTCTGATGATGCAGTAAAGTTTTGACACATTTGTACACGACTTTAAAAATCAAATAGATAAGCAGTCAGCATAAAAAAGAGTGCTGGTCGTATCATGAATCATCGTCTTAGTTATTCGTCTATTCTAATATAATAATTTGTTGCCTAAATTATTTGATTTTAATCTTAACAGGGAGAAAGTGAGAGTGGTCCTGGCGGTGGAAACAAGGATTCTAAATATGCTAAAGACATAATTATAAAACCTGCTGATCGTCACAATCTTTTGCGTCCTGAAACTGTTGAATCATTGTTCATCTTGTTCCGAATCACAGAAGATCCAAAGTACGTCATAGTATATTTTACGGAACCGTTTCTCATACTCATAAATTTGACACACTNTATTTTACGGAACCGTTTCTCATATTCATAAATTTGACACACTTATTTGACAAATAATCGTGACCTTTAATTTAAGTCAATCAAACGCTCAATATTTTATGGATATCAAGTGATTTTAACAAACTCTCACATGATCTTAGTGAAATACATATTGAGTGTTGAATTGACTTAAATTAAAGATCACGATTATTTGTCAAATAAGTGTGTCAAATTTATGAGTAGGAGGAACGATCCAGTATATTTTATCATTTAGAGTGTGTTTGATGCAATTTTTTAAGGAGAGAATGCATTTTTTTTGTGATATGATGGTGAATATATTGTTGAAAAAGAAGGAAAAGTTATTGTTGTGATAAAAAATATTGTTTTATTGAAGAATGTGTGGTTGAAAATGAGTAGAAGAATGAAAATGAGAATGTGGCTCAAACAGGGGCTTAGGTTAACCGGCCCTCCCTTGAGTATTTCCTAGAGTTATCTTTGATATATATTGAACTTCTCTACCATTAAACTAGTTCAGTTACTTAAAGAAGAATATTGAAGTCCCCGTCTTGTTTCTTATAAAACCCATACATTATCATTGAGCTGAAAGCTAGGTCTTCTATAAAATTTCAACATTTTATTCTCAAGGCTTTTCAACTGTTTCAACTCTTGCAATTACCTGCAGATATCGCAAGTGGGGTTGGGAAATCTTTGAGGCGTTTGAGAAGTTCACAAAGGTTGATTCTGGAGGTTACAGTTCACTGGACGATGTTACAACACTTCCTCCACAACGAAGAGACAAGATGGAGACCTTTTTCTTGGGCGAAACTCTAAAATATTTGTATTTACTGTTTGGAGACGCGAGTGTTATTCCGTTGGATGAGTATATATTTAACACGGAAGCTCACCCCATTCCTATCCGCAGCAGTAGTAGAAAGTATTGAGGCTTTCACCAAGATAAACAATTTTGAGCTAAAGAATGCAGACTTTTCAAATCCAATGTTGGCCGGCTCAGATTGAATTAAAGTAAATTATGTATACTTTTCACGGATGCAGTGGCATGAGTCGAGAAGTTCAAAGGTGACCTAATTCCTGCTTTCTTCAGCAATCCTTCATTGGTTTTACAGACATTCATGGATGGAATTTTGCATTCAGATTCTTGATCATCACAGCCAACAGATTGTTGAAATTTGTGTAACAGTTTTTACAACAGAAACTCCTGAGCTATTCATTTGGATAGAGTTTTACACCTGTTGTGGGTTGTAAGGCAACATGCATTTGACAATACCAATTTACTGCTATGATTCCTACCTTTAGAAAACCCATTAATGGATCTTCATGAGATAGACATCTTTTTGAAGCACCTAACGATTTGCATGTCTACGCTATAGCTTTGATCACTATTTAGTATTGTATTTTCCGTGTTACTCGTAAAACCCTGTATAGTTTGAGGTTAAAGCATCGATTTTTTATGTTGTGAAATTTTCTCTTTTGAAATTTCACACAAAGGGTCACTCTTCCTGGCCTATTTTATTACACTTGCTCTGGTGGGATATTTTATTGAACATTTTTTTTTTCAACACTGTTAAAGTTAAACATTAATTTTAATCATATATTTGGAGTTGCCCATTTATGAACTACATATTTCAACCATATCAAATCAATGTCACAAAATCACGAGGCCTAGCCTTTCCTAATCTGAAGAGAGACTCAATTTTTTCGGTTACTTCACCATTCGCAAAATTTTGCTTCCACAAAAATAAATTCAATATGATTGCATCGATAACGTGTTTGTTAGAATGTGTCGCGTGAATTTGACAATAGTATAAAAATATATTCAACAAAAAATAATTTAGGCCATGTTTGATTGTAACGAATTTCATGAAAAATGTCATATCCGAGAAAAACGAATTCCACTTTGACTGTTTGATTGCAACGTGAAAATAAAAATCAAATTTCAAGGTACAACCACTTTAAGCTGCATTTTTTTTTATTTTCATGAAAACCGAATTCCTATGGATTTGGTGGATTTTTATTTTTCANAAAAAAAAACTAATTAGTAACTAATTAAAAAATAAAACACATAATAAAAGAGTAAAAGACACAAGACAAAACCGGGCCGGGTTAAACCCACCCCGCTCTGGAATACAATATCCCGAATAACCAAACAGCCCTCAAAAGCAAATTAGGGTTCCCAATCCCGCCTCTAAATGCATGTAAATTACAAAACCCTAACCCGCCCACATCCCCTTCCGAGAGAGAGAGAGAGAGAGATGGTGACATACAGGGTAATTACCCCCACCAATCTCCTTCTTATTATTTAAAATCTATGTTTATGCATGAGTTTGTATGTTTGATCGATGAATTAGGCTTTTCAAATGTTGATTAATAGGCTTTTATGTATTGTACATTTTGCAGATTCATCAGTACCAGGTGGTGGGGAGAGCTCTGCCGACGGAGACGGAGGAGCATCCGAAGATCTACCGTATGAAGCTCTGGGCCACCAATGAAGTCCGTGCTAAATCCAAGTTCTGGTAGGACCTCCGTGTGTGTTTTGTGTTTGTGGGTGTAGTTGTGCAATATATTAAAGTATAGGGATTGAGATCTGCTAATGCTTATGAAGGTATTTTCTGAGGAAGCTTAAGAAGGTAAAGAAGAGTAACGGTCAGATGCTTGCTATCAATGAGGTATGTTGTCGATTTTATATAATCAGTCAGTATTTTGATATGATTCTGTGAAACACGTATGCTAAAACTTGGTAGTCAATCACATTATTCAATTTTCAAAGAGAATAAAAAACATTGTACAGAATTTATATGGTGTAATTTGTATGCCTTTAATCTTTAATTTACAAAGTTGAGGGAATATGAATGCACATGCAGTTGGAAATGTTAGCCATCTTCATACAGAGTGCATTTTTGTGCCTCTTTTTATGGTTCGGGTTCAAAAGAGGGCTAAAGGTTATTTCATAAAATGAATGCTATTGCTGTTAATATTGTGGGTTTTGTTAATAATTGCCTCCATAAGAATATGGGATTGTGAAAAGTATATAAAATAATTTTATCAAAATTTAACAAGCAATGAATGACATTGATATGAACTGGATTTCTGAAGTCCTTTGCCTGTAAATTCTTTTTGTTATTTGGTGTACTGTATTCTATTGTCTAATGCTTTAGTGATTGTCTTGCCTTGATTCAAAGAAAAATTCACCATGTAGATTGGGTACAATGGGAGTTCCTATCTAAGGAGTTGGGATGTACTCTGAGATGACTGAAATTTGAATATATTATACAATAACCCTTTCCACAATGTTTTCGTTGCTGTAAACACTATAGGACAGGTTCTTGCCCATTCGTGGTGCAATGGTTATAGGCTGGCCATAATAAAGGCACAGTACTAGTGACTGAGTATAGCTTTTACCTTGTGTTTCGTACATGCTACATATTATTTGATGATAGAATGATCAAAATTTTAGTTTCTTTTTATACATTAACATTATTGAGGCTTGTCTAGTACTGCGTTCCAAACATGTCTTCAAGTGTATTGGTTATAGGAACCGATTGCTTATTTGATGGTTTCATATAATTTTCTTTCATTTATTGGAAATCCTAATGGACTATTCAAATCATCAGCTGGGTTCGTTGTCCTACTCTTTGGATGTTCTTTTTGCTTCTTGAGCTACCTTTATGAGAACTGTGTGCTAAAATTGTTTTCCTTTTTTTGTAGATTTTTGAGAAGAACCCAACAACAATCAAGAACTACGGCATTTGGTTGCGATACCAAAGCAGAACTGGGTATCATAACATGTACAAGGAGTACCGTGATACCACTCTGAATGGTGCCGTTGAGCAGATGTACACTGAGATGGCTTCTCGTCACAGGGTCCGTTCTCATTGCATTCAAATTATCAAGACTGCCACTATACCTGCCAAGCTCTGCAAGAGGGAGAGTACAAAACAATTCCATAACTCCAAGATTAAGTTCCCCTTGGTGTTCAGGAAGGTGAGGCCACCAAGCAGGAAGCTCAAGACAACCTACAAGGCATCTCGACCCAATTTGTTTATGTAAACATGTTTGGTCTATATTTGCTTCCTATGGAAAAGTATTGTTTGATGTTTTGCTTTTTAGATCGCTTTTACATTTCTGAAGGAAATCTTTGGCTGATTTTTGCTAGTTGTGTTCAAGGCTTCAAGCCCAACTTGATAAATGTTTTGAAATTGTTCGGATATCTTTATTTGAAATTGATATGTTTGTGGGTTAAACTTAAAAACCATTCCTAAAGCTTGTACACTTGTTCATACTAACCAGGGATTGTCGTATGTCCTTGTGAAGATAGAGGGTTTCCAAACTATTCAATGTGCATGATCTTATCTTGAGGATAATATACTTTGATTAATCTACGAGCGGGCTGGATTAAAGTGTACAATATGTTCGATTGAACTCATCTCTAATTGTAATAATGAATTTATGACCATAATATCCTAATTTTTGAGCCAATAAGAATTATATACTTTTGGCCTTTTATTTAAAATTGATTTACAATTAAAATAAATCATAATATGCATTACATATAATAGAATGATGATATGTTTTTAGAATTTCTCCAATAGTAATTTAATTTCCCACTTCACAATAATGCAATTACGGGTGTTTTTGTCATCCTTTAAAAATTAAATTATTTGCTACATTATCATTTCTCCACCACATATTCACACAAAAAAATATTCTACACACAAACCAATAAAATTACTTTAAATTTTAACCACACATTCTCCAAGAAATAATATTGAAAACTCTATTCTTTCTCCCATAATGGGAGACAAACAGGGGCTACAATGCCGGTGGGCAATAACCAAAAAATATAATGACGACTCCGCTGGGGATCGAACCCAGAATCTCTGGTTCCGTAGACCAGCGCCTTATCCATTGGGCCACGGAGTCCTTTTTGATTAATAAATCTTTGTTAATATACTTGTTATTATTCAAGAGACATTACCATCCAATTTCTCAAAGCATTTTATGCTTTTCGAGGTTTCAGTTTCCCCAAAACTCAATATTGGAGGCCAATGCTCCCCCGAATGAGATATTGGAGGCCAATGCTCCCCTGAATGAGTATACTATCATCTTTTATTTATTTGAGTAGAGTCTTAGAAGGATTTGGGTCGGATACAATCCAACATTAATCCTAGATCAACCAGAGAAGAACCCACATTCGATTACAAGAAGGAAAATCGGGGATACCCAAGAAGTCTTTCGAGAAGCAGAGGAGAAATCGTACAGCCAGGTAGTGAAATATATGTTTTGTCCAATCCGACATATAAGCATACATTTAGTATAAAAATTTGTAGCAGTACAATGCTTAAATTGTCGTATTCGTGGATATCTCAGTGTAACTATTGCAGAATGAGAAACCAAAGAGACACAGAGCATTCATACATCCAACTCAAAAAATATTGATCCCTTAAATCACTGTTGTTTGATGGAACTAAAGAGCTCCTCAAATGAACGTTTAGGCGCTTCTGTCCGAGCAACAATCTCGACTACTTTGTAGTATGACTCGGGATGGAGCAACGCCTCTACAGCAACTTCAGCAACCAGATCTCGAGATATTGAACCTTCATAAAGAGTGTCCTGTAAAAAAGAGGGTTCAATGAAATTAAGGGACAAAGAGAACATATTATGCTAAGGTTAAATACATTGGTGGCTAGTAAACTTTTAGCAAAACTCGATTCCATTTTCAGGTAGGTGGCTGAAATTTAATTTTCTTGCAATTTGGTTACTCTGTCCATGTCCATTAGTTTGACAGAAAAGGTGATGAGAAATCTAGTAGTTTGCCGATTAAACTACCAACTAGAATATCATGTCGGTTCCTTCAGGAGTAATGCTATTTAGATCTGTCTATGTGGGGTTAGGTAATATGCTAACTGAAATATGCAATTAAATGACTCATTTAATTGCAAGTATCATTTAATGACACATTACCGTCACATAAACTGAGGTTATAACCCCATTGGGGTTCAACATTACTCTTTTTTCTATGAGTCAAACTAACATACATGCACAGAATGTGTAAAAAATATTTCAATTCAATGACCAACGTGAAACAAAATGAAGTTTGATGACAACTTGAAATTTTACTAAAGTTCAGTGAACACCATGTTTTTAACCCTGTTACATTGTACTTCTCAAGTGAAACTCATAGCTAGTGGTTGAATTTGTTACCTCTGGTTCCATGACTATATTTCCATTTGGTGGATCATTTCTTAATCCCCCGGGCCTAATAATTGTGTAATTGATACCAGATTTCCTGATATATTGCTCGGCTTGAAGCTTTGCAACTAAAGTGAGTCCAAAAACGTTCAGAAATATGTAAGCCGGGTTTAAAAGCTGCCCCATTGCAGCTCCATTGACCAAGATAGAACTGATAAGAATAAATCTATTAACACCACATTTGCGACAGGCATCAACCAAGTTTACAGTGCCAAAGTTATCAACCTGCATGAGATCATATTGCCCAGAACTTACATAACATTGTTCACACGATGATTCAAGAATATACTCATTGAACATAAAACAGACGGACTTCAATTTTGTAGATATAAGATGATTCCAAGTACAACTGTCAAACATAATTATAATTAGAAAGCAATAGAGGTTCTTGACGTAGTTGCTTGTATCTTTTATATGTATACACACACACATTGTACCATTGGTACAAAATTGAAAATAATGCTAAGCTTTAATAAGCGTAACAATCAATGCCAGAGATTTGCAAACTAAACAAAATTTTGCAACAGAACAGATAAAAACTTCAATCATGTCGGAAATTTTTGACAGAATTTTTTCGGACAACGCATTGCAAGGATTCATTGGAGGATGGAAAAAAAAGGAAAAAAAAAAACCGAAGAATCAGATGTTGCCACGACAGCATCTGTAGGAATTCTGCTGTACTCGGGGCTTTTTCCTAAAAACTTTAGGCAAACAAATAAAACGCAGTTGCTAACTAGGAATTGTGTTGACAAAGTTACAAGATTATAGCTATTACGCAGATGTTTTACTAATAAATTCCATAAGTAGAAATAATGGCACTTTTCCCCAACTCTGCCTAAAGTATCATATTCAGATGATAAGAATCTAAAATATGATTTACTAACCTTCCATGGAGCGAATAAATCCCATGAAGGACGGAAACCTGTAGCACATATTACTGCCTCGGAATCATCACTGATAGCATCAGTTAGTTTTGCTGAACCCTCAGTTACGTCTGCTTTTACCTAAAATCAGAAGTAAACCACCTTAGAACCGCGGATGGACAAGGTGGGTGGGGGCATCAAGTGAGAAGAACATCTTATGGCAAAAACACAGTCCAAGCCTTGGGATGTTGATGAAATTCTGAAAGTCCTCAAGTGTGTATTCTCTCTCTTATTTAGGCTTAGCGATGTACAATTTTACATTATAATAGAATAAGAAAGTTCCACTTAAAGTCTCGGTTCTGTTTACTCGTAATCAATGTTAAATGTGTTTAGCATAAAGGACTTTGGTTGCCATTACATGGTTAAACAGAGAATATTTGTGTTGTCCGAAGAACTACGACATTGTTTATCCAGTCCCGAAAACTATGAATTAACTTTACGTCACACTAACTTTGATTGCAAAAAATTGTGTAAAACAATCATCACAAACCTCATTTTTGGCTTTCATGAACAGTATACTCCGGTATGTGTTTGCAACAAGACAATGTCCTTTTTAGCTCTCATTGTTCCAGAATGTCTATATTTCAATACAAATATATCTCCCATTTTGCCATAGATTCTAGTACAGTAAATATCGAAGTTTTTTTTTTTTTCTTTGAATCTATTCTTCTAAACCTTAAGCTGCCAAAGAGCAAACAAACATATTTATTTGAATCATATCCTCAAAAGTCCCTCACATGCACACCATATTCATTTATTCCCATCGAAAGTCTCACACTTGCATAATTTTTCCCAGCTCCGTTTTCATAGGAGTGTTTTGAACAAACTTAATAAGTTAAATACTTAAATTACTTTTCAAACAGCTTTTATAGCCTCATATGACATTGTACAGTATTCTCAGCTGGTTGCAAATCATTTTCATAATATCCAATTGCAGCACCTCTAATTATCAAATCAATGGAAACCCAATTGTACCAATCAATTAACCCTAAATACTCACAATTTGAAGATTAGGGTTGTCTACAGGGAAGGTTGTTTTGGCCTTATCGATATCGCGAACCCCGGCCTTAACAGAAAATCCCTTAGCCAACAGCTGCTCCACAATCCTCTTCCCAGTACTTCCAGTGGCACCTGCAACAAAGATTTTCTTCTTTTGCGGAGCACCCACTGGATCTTCCTCTGTAATCTCGCTTCCCTGCATCTGTAACTTTTAAGTGCAACAAAGATTTTCTTCTTTTGAGGAGCACCCACTGGTTCTTCCTCTGTAATCTCGCTTCCCTGCATCTGTAACTTTTAAGATGAACTCAACTTAAAGTCAATAAAATGAAATCAAGAAAAGGGGGAATCAAATGTATGTTAAAATTGAGAAAAAGCTAGAGATAAGAAAAAGGAGAAATACTTACTGATGAAGCTTTGAGATGAAGAGAATGGGATTTCCGGGTGGATAATGAGAAGTGGAGGAGAGAGGTTCTGAAGAAGCGTGTAGAAATGGGAGTGGATGTGACCATGGCCATGGCCTTGCTATTTTCTTTTGGAATTATACCCGCCACAATTATTTCTTCCCGCAAATTACCCAATTACCAGGAAGATTGTCCACGTGGCATCTACCATAGTTGGAGCTCTCAGGCCCAAAAGAGAGCTTTTCAGGCCCATGCAATTTTATATGACTCAGTCAATTAATTTTGAGAGATGCATCACTTACCGGAAAGATTTCACAGAAAAATTCAGAGGATCGGAAAACTCACTGGTCACTCAGTCAATTAATTTTGTGGTCTTGCACAATTTTTTTTAATACATGGTGAAGCCCAACATGTGAGTATCCTGGTAAGCCCTGTGAAATAAATTATGTACTTGAGAATTAATTGATTAATTTTTTGTCAAAATGAAATTTATTAAAGGGAGGTGCTACAAGTACATCGGGATCTACATAAGGGTGTCCATTATGGACACCCTTATGTACCCCCTAATGTACAAGTAGCATTTTTCTTTATTAAAATAAATGTAGAATACCAAGTGTGATGAACAAGTAGTTAAATTTCATGAAAGGTTGCAACAAAGATTTTCTTCTTTTGAGAAGCACCCACTGGTTCTTCCTCTGTAATCTCGCTTCCCTGCATCTGCAACTTTTAAGATGAACTCAACTTAAGTCAATAAAATGAAATCAAGAAAAGGGGGAATCAAATGTATGTTAAAATTGAGAAAAAGCTAGAGATAAGAAAAAGGAGAAATACTTACGGATGAAGCTTTGAGATTAAGAGAATGGGATTTCCGGGTGGATAATGAGAAGTGGAGGAGAGAGGTTCTGAAGAAGCGTGTAGAAATGGGAGTGGCTGTGACCATGGCCATGGCCTTGCAATTTTCTTTTGGAATTATACCCGCCACAATTATTTCTTCCCGCAAATTACCAGGAAGATTGTCCACGTGGCATCTACATAATTGGAGCTCTCAGGCCCAAAAGAGAGCTTTTCAGGCCCATGCGTTTTTATATGACTCGTCAGTCAATTAATTTTGAGAGATGCATCACTTACCAGAAAGATTTCATAGGAAAACTCAAAGGATCGGAAAACTCACAGGTCACTCAGTCAATTAATTTTGTGGGTCTTGCACAATTTTTTTTAATAATACATGGTGAAGCCCACTACGTGAGTATTTCGGTAAGCCCTGTGAAATGAATAATGTACTTGAGAATTAATTGATTAATTTTTTGTCAAAATGAAATTCATTAAAATAGATGTAGAATACCAAGTGTGATGAACAAGTAGATAGTAGTTGAATTTCATGAAAAAAGTATGATTAAAATTAATATTTAACTTTGACTATCAAATTATAAAGAAATTATAATGTTTCCTAAGTATGCACTCCCGACTCCCTTTCCATCCTCCACAATATCACAACCCATATCACCGCAGATTTGATTGTCCATGGCAAAATCATGTCAAGCTCGACATATTGAAAAAAGGCTGCGGCCACAGCCCAAGCAGCCGACATACTTGTAAATGTCATCGCCGATTGTGGCAAAAAGCACGTGCTGTCAGCATGCTTCGACATCTATGTGCTCTTGGTGTTGACCAAGGAGTCTAAGATTACATGCCTAGAACCACAAGGGATAATAATATGATCATATCAATCTTTAATTATTTTGAAATGTCACCCAACATTTCTGCTAGGAAAGGAAATAATCAATTTCTGTTCAAATTTGTCCATTCTCGATATACCCAGATGTATGAACCGGTTGTCGGGGCTGGTCCACAGGGACGGCAGCTCATACCAGTCACTCCATTAATGTCTCTGCTCAAAGGCTAACGTCTTTTCCCCCAAAACCGGTAGCAGAAATTTAAGGATTAGATGAATCCAAGAAAACGTTGCATAAAGTCTTCAAGCTAGGATCTTAGCTTAAACTTATTACAATTAAATCGAAAGAAATTTCTTGCTCAAGATGTTGATGGAGCAACTAGCACAACGAATACTGGTCAGTTGCTATAAGAGATTCAGTGAGAACTCTAATTCGAAAGATTTATCCTTTCATGAGAAAAATTAAAAATTAAAAAAATCATACAAAAATCAGGGCTTGAATGCAGAGAAGGCCACGACAGAGTTGTGTCCACCAAATCCAAATGAATTCGAAATGGCTGCATTTGATAATATACACAAGAAAATTAGGACCAAATGGTAAAGCAAAAAACCCGAAATAAGAGATGGGAGTTGAAATTTAAGGCATCTTACCGACGTTGACTTCATGCTGCTTCTTTTGGTTTGCAATTGTGTCAAATTCCACAGAAGACTCTGGATTCTGCATTTGCAATAGTGATTCATAATCATCATCAAACCACCATTGAAAAAGAGAAGTTGGCCCCAAATGAGCTTCTTGATCAAGTAAGCATATCGGAAAATTGTAGTTTTGCAGGTAAATAAAGCACATCCATTCGAATCATAGGAAATTACTTACAAATTGGTTTATGGTAGGATGAAGCCACCCAGTTGTAATGGCTTTTACTGTAGCAATAGCTTCCAAACCACCAGCAGCACCAAGACAATGCCCTATCATAGACTGGAAAAAGATAAAAAGTCAGAAGCTAAAAATGAACCAGAACAGGTATACTCGACTCAACAACAATTCCCACACACACATAAGCATGTTTGGCTAATCTTTAAAAATGGTAAGAGTTACTTCTTAAGTAACTTTTTGTCTTCAAACATGTTTGGAATAACTAATTTTCTAACTTTTGAGTAGAACTTCTTTAAAAGCTACTCTTACCTTGCTGCCAAAATAAGTGAACTTTTTTTATTTACTTATAAGTAAACTTTACTTAGCCAAGCATACTCACCACTCAAAAGTATTAGTTTGAAACAAACAAATCCATGTGTATGAGAGGTGGAGGTGGAGGTGGGGGTGGGGGGACTCACCTTAGTTGCATTTATTTTGATCTCTGAAGTGTTCTTGAATACCTTCTTAATAGCATTTACCTCAGCTAGGTCACCTACTATGGTCGAAGTTGCATGGGCATTAATGTAGTTGACCTGATAAAGAATTTAATTTGTGTCATAGATTATCACAGATGCACCAGAAATGAAATCGAGTTTACTCATGACTCCCAACTTAATAAAAGATTCACTGAAGATGCCACACCGCACCATCAATAAAATCTAGAATGGTCCAATAATCCTTCAGTTAACTTGATACATCCGATATTACTTTGTCTACATCCTAAAATACATAGTAGGATTAACCTCCAGTTTTCCAAGGGATATTTTGTGTTTTCGACCCAGATTTTGAGAAGCTTCAGTTTGAGACTACTTATGAATGAAATAACACTTTCCAGCTTTCAATTTTTTATGACGAGCTCCATTGTTACAGTTAAAGAATCTAAGGAAGAAAAAATACCTCCTCAGGTGACACACCAGCATCTTCAAGGGCACTATGGATACACGAAGAGACACCGAGTCCATCAGATCTGGGATCAGTCATATGATAAGCATCACAATTTACTGCACCTCCTAAATACTCAGCAATTATCGGTGCATCTCGTTTCATCGCATGTTCTAAACTTTCCATCACCTGATAAAATGTTGAAAAAAATATAAAGAAATTCAATTTCTTATACAATTCTAAAGTCACATGCTTATAACAAATGAACTTTTGTAGGAAGTGGAAATAAGAAGTAGTACATACGTACATGAACCTATCCGGATCCCAAGTAGATTAAAGTACTTCATGTTTTGCCCATTTTCCTATTCCTTTTTAGTGTAGTACCTTTGGAGGGGAGGGGTGGGAGAAATGTGTAAAAGGAGATTACATGCTGAGGTTTGGAACTAAGAACCACCCACTTTCTCATTTTGAACACTCTTAGAAGAGTTCAATTAATTAATTAGGAAGTAACATATAAGATATTACTAGTCATAGATAAGTCTTTCACTCATGTGCCAAGCAAATAAATTTGAAAGATCAAAACAGAACCAATATGATACAAAAAACTACAGTACCAGCCACTTACCAATACTCCGGCACCTTCACCCATAACAAAACCATCTCGATCTTTGTCCCAAGGCCTAGAAGCAGTTCGTGGATCATCGTTTCTTTGAGACAAAGCTCTGCATGCAACAAAACCTCCCACTCCAATGGGAATAATGGCAGCTTCAGTTCCACCAGCAATCATCAAATCAGCCTCGCCTCGACGGATGTGATTTGCAGCCGCATAGAAGCAATAATTTGAGGTAGCACAAGCAGTTGAAATTGAGTAGTTTGGCCCCATCAAACCAAGATCAATTGCAAGCAAGGCAGACCCCATGTTTGTTATAGCATAAGGTATGAAAAATGGAGTTATTTTCCTGTGACCTTTTTCTATTAGAGCTTGAACACCGTCAGAAAAAACTGTAAGACCACCCATTCCCGTTCCAACGAGAACACCAGCTCGTATCTTGTCAATCTGAAATAATATAAAGCGTATACTTCAATGGGGCATGTCTTCAAAAGAAGTGAAAAGCTGTTGGGAGCAACAACTTTTATCCATACAAAGTGCATTTTCCAAATTAGCACTTAAGATATTAGAAATTGGCAGATCAAATAACAATGCCTTTGATTGCATAAAAGACACGTCCTGGTTTCCCTGGCTTTGCTAAGATGAGAACCTCTTCAACCAGAATCAAGTATAGCTTTCAATGAATCTAAAGTTCTGAACTAAGAGTTTCAATCAGCAGTACTTAGAAAACGAAAACAATCACAGGAGTTAGTACTGAACCCAGGTTAACTAAAACTCAAACAATAATAAAAATATCCAAAAAAAGATGCAAATATTAACACAAAATCACAAAATAAAATGGAAGGAAATAAAGAGTAAACAAATTAAGGTATAGATTGAGTCCGATTTAGTAACCAACAAAACGAACGAGACTAGGAATAAAAGAAGAGGTTTCCAAAGGATAAAAGCTCAACAGTCAAATTCTGAAGTTTTGAATTTAGTATTTTACACCATTCAATAAGACCACCTGAAGTTCAAAATCTTGATTTCGGATACTCAAAGTCTGCAGCCTCAAAAATCATTCTTAGCCTATTGCCTTTGGTGTAAAGGAAACGAATAACATCGAATAATGAAATAATAGCTCAAGTACAGCGTTAAACCTCAACAAAATCCCAAAAAATCATGAAACCAGATCAGTAATTCAACTCAACCAATAGATAAATATCAAAATTGACCTCAATTAAGCTAGTATATATACTACAACTTGTCGAGTCTATCTGCGTTAAGGCAATCAATAATAGCTAATAACGAAATAACCGCTCAAATACAGCATTAGTCCTGAACAAAAATCCCAATTAGACACTGAACCAACTCAAAATTCAACTCCGCCGATAAATAAGCATCAAATTTGAGCTCAACAAGGATTGTAAATTAAACATACCTTCTCGAGTCTATCACCCCCAAGATCAGCACCCTCGAGAGCTTTCTTCCCAGCTACAATGCAGTATCTCAAGCAATCATCAAGCCTCCTATCGTTTTTTCCATCAATGTACCCTTCGGATTTGAATCCCCGAATCTGTCCACCGAATCGAGTGGGGAATTTGGAGGCGTCGAATCGGTCTATGTGAGTGATGCCACTCTCGCCCGCAAGCAGCTTCTCGTAGTAAGCATCAACGTCGTTGCCGAAGACAGAGACAAGCCCCATGCCCGTGATGACTACGCGCTTCTTCGGATCGATCTCTCGCTTGGGCGCCGAAGCCGTGGAGGCGGAAGCAGAAATGATGAATGGGAGCTTTGGGGAGTGTGGAGTAGGAGGTTTGGCATTGTTGCTAGAGTGGAATAATGGGTGACGTGTAGAGGTCAGTTTACTGAGGGGATCGAGAGGAGAGGAGCAGAAAGCGGCGGAATGGAGAGCCTGCATGGCGGCAGCGGCAGTGGTGGACGGCTAGTTTCGATGAAAACGATGTGGAAATGAGGACGGGAAGAAAATTAAGAAATCCGTGTAGGAACTAGGAAGTCAGCTTCTACGAGGCAAATTTTCTTTTGATAGAACGTTGAAAAGGCGATAATTTCACCTATGGTGACTGAAGTTTGTACAAATTCTTAAGTTAGTCCTTATATTTTTTTTTGCCTTAATTTGACAATTGCTCATTTGTTTACCAAAACTTGCAATCCTCAACTGGACCTAATGCCTATTTATTGATTCGTTAAAAAATAATAAATAAATATATAAAAATGCTGACGAGTTCAATCCCAAATTTTAGGCAGGCGGGTCTAATTAATTTGTAATCAAGTTCAATAGACTTTTGAGTAAAAAAGACGAATATATATGTTAATCTACAAAGAATGTTTTGAAAATAATATATTTAAAAAACTCTTCGACTTGCTAATCCGCATCCTAGTTGCAGATAATCGTTTCACGAAAAGTACGCAACCTACTCTTTTTAAGTTGGTTTCGCTATAGAATGTGTTTGGCTAATCTTAGAAGTAAGTTTAACGTAAATTTTGACTTTTCGCACAATTTACTTTTTCTTTCTTACACTTCAATAATACAAAAAAAAAATTACTTATTTGTACAACTGCCCCTTTTTTGATCCATTATAATGAGTTTCTGGGATAATATATTTTGGAATAATAACTTTTTTTAAGAATGTATAGTTGTTAATGAAGGAAATTTTTTGAGTTACATGTAATGATATTTTATTGAAGAGTATGTGATTAAAATGGGGAGAGAGAAAATGTATTAAATTATAATGGAGATCAAACGGGGTTGAAGTACCATCGTTATCGAGAGAGTCTAAAACTAAAAACAATTAGTATTTGTTTTCAAAACAACTTTATTTATTCATAAGTAAATTTACTTGGAGAAAATTAGGCTATTATCTTAACATAATTTAGTGATGGGGTGATCTTTTTCAACCTTGATATTGTCACAAAGAAATGAACTCGCTGGAAAGAACCTCCATGGATATTAGCCTGCAAAAATGGGTTGGGAACTTTCTCCCAATCCCATTCCGAAGTGAAAATTAATTTTAAAAAAGAAGTGCATCAAAATATGAAAATTTGGGTTAAAGATGACTATAGAGATTCTAACGATACGAGTAGAAGAATATTTATAAGTGACTATTTTTAGTCAACGTGTCTCATTTTATTTACATACAAGCCTATGCCATTGTGGACAAGTGTCAACTTAGTTCCTATTTTTTTTTCTTTTTTTCATAAAAGAATTTGGAACTATACATAACATGCGTACCGAACCACAATAACTACTAGGTGTTTTGATTGACACGTAAATCACCTTTTACGTCATTTGTCACTACGCGTCAACAACAAACATGGCTCTTCGTTCATGGACATTGACTGGGCACCCCTCGATATGTATAAATACTTCATATTGAGATCATGATAAGAGGTTGACCACCTAATGTGTGGGCTTACTATGTGAGCGAGTGACTATCTACAGTTTAGAGGGAAAATCAACCTTAAGATATGTTTAACGTTGATAATTGAATGTAACTACTAAATTTTTCAAAAGTAATGTGACATGCTCCCCTTGTAGTAATAATTCTTTCCAACATATTAGGGTATCGGAAAATGCTAAATTCGCCTCTCGATTAAGATGTGATAGCTTAAAAACCAGGTAAGGTGACATGTCCTCCTCATTGTAATAATACTAGGGTAGAGAAAAGTGCCAAACCCTAACCCCCAATTAAGGTGCGATGGTGTAAAAACCCTTGCCTAATATGATTTTTTTTTTTTAAAGAAGCGAATAAAAAAATTAACTATAAAAATGATATGTTAGCTTCCTTACAACTCAAAAATCATTTAGATTTGCATCAAATCAAAAAGTTTTAAAATGCGCTCTATCTCCATTTTGACAAAATATATGGTCATCTGACACATCAAATTTACGTTAAACGAATTTAGTGAACAATGCGAAACGAAACTTAAATTTGAGTGACTGTTTTGGAATACACTAAAGTTTAGGAAAATATACAATTGGATGACTAATTTGGAGCAAATTAAAGTTGAGTGACCAAATCGAAACCCATCTATAACTTCGGTGACCAATTGAGTTTTTTACCCAATTGAAACGTGGGGTATTTTCACGAATGTCCACAATTAAGGGTGTGAGTTGAAAAGTGTCAAATTTTCAAATTTAATACTAAAGTGTCTATTATGCCCTTAATGAAAAAAAATGCCATTTGAATCTCTATGTATTCTCGACATTTAAAATGTCATTCTCGACATTTGAAT